TAATTTTTGCTAGTGTTGGGAAGTGATGTAATACTGATCTGGGTTTTTTGTAAAGAGAAGTATTTTTCAGAATCCTGGAAGAGAACATTTGCAGCACTATAAACAGCACAAAAGCTACTTAATAAAGGAAGGATAGTGATGAATAATACTGTTTACCAGTTCTTGGATGGAGTTAGCTTTAAACTGGGATTTCACAATGAAGAGAAAAGCCTCCTCTGCCAAATAATATATCAACAGACCATCTATCTAAGGGGTACAACAACATAGTTTCATTATGCTCTGGATGAATGTCATCTTTGTTATTTAAAAAGTAAGTCAAGGATGTTAAGTAAGTCTGGAGATATAATTTTTTTTTTAGTCTATTTTATTTTATGAGTTATTAGTCTGATTCACATGTACTTGTAGTTTTGGCTCTTATTATCACAGAATATTCAGTATCCAGTTAATGATTATAATACTGTTTTGAACCACACAGTAGACAACCATAGTAATTTTCTTCTAGGAATACATGTGATAGTTTATAGATAAGATAGCTACAAGTAAAGGCATTGGAAACATATATCTGTATAATTGTAGTAATGTCCTTTAAATTGGTATGCATATATAAAGTATGCATACAATATGAGTAAACAGATAATGTACCTTTCAATACACTTGAATTGTAGGTGGGGTGCTTTTTCTTTTGTTTTGCAGCTAATTAGTTTTAAATCCTTTAAAGCAATATGTTCTGCTAACAGGTTAATCACACTATTTTTTGATGTTTGCAAAGGACACCTTTAACTCTCTTCTCACTTCATGAAGAAAAAATAAATAATGAAACCCCAAGATCTAAGGGAGGGATAGCTGAGGAGAAGAAAGAAAGACTGTGGCATCAGAGATAGTAGTTTACATATCGAGACTAAATGGCCTAGGTGACTTATCCAGCCTACTTATAAATCCATGGAGATTATCAGACATTTTTCTCTTCTATTCTAGCTTTTTTTAACCAACATGAGCCAACTCAAAGGTTGCTCTAGATTTTCAGTAGTCACTTGCAATTTGTAACATTGCTATGAGATTCAGTATAACTGAGCCATACTGTTTGGTTAATTACTTTTTCTGTATTTGCTGCAGGCTGTTTTCACTGTCCTATTTATCATAGTACAAAATTCCAAATTTTAAAATGGCCTTGGAAAACTAGTGCTGGAGACAGGTTTTAAATTACTCTTCAATTCCGTATAGGTTTTTGTTGTGGAATTAAATTGAGAGTTACATGAGCTACTGTTAAAAAGTGTGTGTTTGCAGATGGGTCACAGTCCTTTCAGCTCTGGACTTCATGACACCAGGAGAAGTCGGGAACCTACACACTATTTGTGAATGCGAGATTTTGCATTTAGATAGGTTTAAGCTGAACAATCTGAAAAAACTCCCATAAGCACAGAGGTCCCTACTGTCTGTGTGTTTGAGAAGGCTGAAGAGCTCTGTTTATTGCAACAAAGGGTCTGGAATAAATTATGTTTAGTAAATTGGCTCCAGGTTTTCCTGTTTCAGACAGTAGCTTAGAAGCAATCTGTTTTATAGGCTCCACTAAATCTGACCAATTGCAGGGAGGTGACACTTCATTTCAAGGACGTGACATCATGCATGTGCCAGTTACGTCCAGCCTCCTCTCTCTGGCAAGATGGCAGGACACCAGCAGATCAACATTTTGTCTTTCGGCAGTTTTAAACTACAGCCCAGTATGAATTTATGAGCCCTGCCGGGAGGTCCAAGCAGGATGGAGCCAGGCTCCTCGGCCCCTCTTCAGCATCGCGCCTCCCACCCCCACATGGGGCAAATAATAGCTCCTTTATTCCACTGGAAATACCCTTATTCAGCGAGGTGTATGCACAGCTTCCTTCCCCAGTCGGTCTCACAGGTGATAATTAACACAGTGCAGATATTTCCTAGCTGAAGCCAAGGTGGGAAAGCAGCTTTAGCCTCAGCATTTTTCCTTTCAGACTCTTTTTCCTCATTTATTTTGGGTCTTTTCATGATGAGGAAGTTTTAGAAGGTGTTGGTGCTTAGCAGAATTATTGAAGAACTAAAGGAAACAATAATTTTTCCTCCTCTGACAAAACTCATCTTACTTTTGAGGGAAGGAAAGAATGGGGGAGTTAGATTTGCTTTTAGGTTTTATATTTTTTTTCTGTTCATGGATCTGATTACTTCTGAGCAGTGTGACTGTGGCTCTTTTCAGCACAGGACACTGATTGACATTGCATATGTTACAGAGAGGAAGGATATTTCCTGAAGATTAATAGCCAGTTAGTTGGTCTGAAGTTCATTAACCTGAGCTAGTCATTAGACTGCTGGAAGGACTCTGTGCAGAAGCTGGAATTGTATTAGAAGATCATCATAAACTAAAAATATATGTGACAATCTGGCCAGATTGCAATGGATCTAGGACAAGACAGGGTTGGCTCGAGCTCACAGAGCAGCTGCCTCCAGTGTAAACTAACTGCCTTGTGTCAGGAATTAAAGCAAACATTTTTTCATGGATATTATTCAAGTAAAAGGGGGAAGAAAAAAAAAAAAAAAAAGAAAAAAAAGAAGGAAGGTTTCCATTAGCAAAAGAACTCTACATGAAGAAATAAGTTTGTGGGGTATGGGCAAAAGGTCCAGCTTGGTGCTGGTCCTCAATCTACAATCAAGCAAATGACAGTGTGTTCAGGCAACTGTTTTTTTGTTGTTGTTTTTTGTTTTTTTTTGTTGTTGTTTTGTTTTGTTTTTCCTATAAGTGACAAATTTAGTCTTGATTCTTCACTCTACTTTGCCTCGAGAAAATAAGCCCCAAATCCTCTGGTGAGATCCCTCTTGGCTGAGACCCAGACCCTCAAGCCATGACTTCTCAGCATATTTCCAGCGAGACTGGCTCCCTCTTAATTGCTTCTTTTTGAAGTATGGTTTGCCTCTATCATCCCACTGAAGATGAGCAAGGCTGGTGTCTCTTGTCTTAATATAGTCCTCCCCCTCCTCCGTCTCCTTCTTTTCCCTTTTTTCCCCAAAAACATGTATTTATTTAAGGTGATATAAACCTATGATAGTCTAGTGAACTGCAGTGTTTTGTAGTCCAACCACAAATAGATGTGCTGGCATGGAAGAAGTAAGAACCTTCTCTCAGGATCCTATAATCTAATACAGGGAAGGGAAAGATGAACCAGAAGCATTTCATGTTTGTTTTGTTTTCTTTCCATGTCATCTCATGAATATGTAGCTCATGAATATGTAGCTCATGAATATGTAGTGGCGCTTGGCCAAAAATAGTGCACTGAACATGAGTGTTGAGGAAGGGATTGAGAAGAAAGAAGCTCAATGTTCTGCAATAGGAAGGATGCTTCGGGCGTTTTACAAATCATTTCCCTCTCTCTCTTTCCCCGTCACGCCTTTCCTGCACACTCCCTTGTCTTTTGCTATTGGCAGAAGGTCTGCAGGCTCAGAAAGCTCCAGCTTCATCTAAGAGAGGTTTCCTTTGGCAGAGAGAACTGAAGGGGTCCTCTTTCCAGCCCCTTCATGCCAGGAAGGATGTACTGCCTGCATCATGAGGTGCTAAATTGATTCTGGATGCCTCTGCAGCTCACAGAGGTGCTCTGGCCCCAGTGCTGCAGCGAGCTTAAGTGCCAGACCTGTGGAGTGGCTCTGAGGGCCACGAGCTGTGCTGCATCTCTCATGGGCTCACAAGGAACCTTTCCCTTGATGTCCACGCAAGTGCTGGCTGATGCGGGCACTAGGATTACTCTTTTAATCAGGCAGTTTCAGTACCTCTCAGAAAAGAATTTTCATGGCAAGTCATAAGCCATTAATCTCACTACTAACCATAACATTTCCTTACTCCTTGATTTACAACATTACCCAAACACTGACATTTGTCATTTCACTATCTCCCTTGACCTCTGGTATCATGCACTTGCAGGGGGAAGGATCTGCTCTCACAGATATTTTCATGCTCTGATGTCTGTGATTTATTAACCATCAAATTCTGCCTTCAGAACTCAGGAAGCCATTTCAAATCATTTCATATGCAAAAGTGGAGTTATTGGGCAAAAGGGATCCCTTTTAAGTGGGTACAAACAGGACACCAGGAGAACTGTTGCTGCTCTCTGTTCAGCTACTGGGGTGGCAGTGTGACCTTGAGGAAGTAGGTTCACTACAGTTTCATTATTCCATTTTTGTATAGGGAAAATAAGGACAGTGATAATTACTTTCATTTGTAAAACACTTTAAGATTTATGGAATATGAATTACTGTTATTAAGTGAAAAGTGTTGCAAAGCCGGCTTAGTTGCACACTGTGCTAACGAAATCCCATATCAGCCTATTGACCTCAGCATGAACCACTCATTAAAGTTTACAGGACATTTTGGTGGCTGAACTGAAGCAGTTATTCTGCTGGAAATATCATACTGAAAGCACATTTAAATCCATCAGCTGCATTGACTTTTTTCTCTATTAAAACTAAACACAACTGCTTGCTCTATCCAATTTTCTTAGTTTATTTATGAAAGTTTATGATGGGTATGTACTCATTGTTAACTCAGCTTGTACGCCCATGGTATCTGAGATATTGCAGTTTATTCTAGTCATAGCATAAACATACAATAGCTGTTGTACTGAGATAAAGAGAGAGTTATAAAACATTAAGATATCCAGTGGAGCAGTATGAACTAACAAGTTGCATGGTCACTTTTGAATGGCAAATGTTCTTTTCATGGATACTGCATTAACTTAATTTGTGCTTATACTTTAGCTATGCAAGACATCAGTGCTTGCAAAGTTTACATATTTTTTCAACCTCAAAGTGTGTAAGTTTAGTGTTAAAAAAGCAGATTTACAAAATTTTGATTTATACTTGAGGAAAAAATACTTTTGTAACAAATGTGTTAAATATGCTACTCTTTAAAGATAGGTCTGACTTGTTTTCAGAATTATTATTTATATAATAATGCAAAAAATTGACAGATGTTTTCTTTTTTCTTCCAGATTAAATTTGGATTGTTTGAAAAGCAGGGAGATATTTCACCATAGTACAAAAAAAGATACAGAAGAAGAGAGCAGAATGAGAGCTTCCCAAGTACCACATGCCTGCAGCCTGTTATCTTTAGTGATGCTGTTCCTTCCAGTCACTGGAACGTCAAAACAAAATATCCCAAGGCTTAAGCTTTCCTATAAAGGTAAACTTTTCAGCAGTTCTTCTGATTCTGCCACTTTTGTTTTGATGTGATGTTGCCAGCAGTTCATTTGTATTGCTAATCAGGAAAACAAAACTCACTTGTCCCTACAGTTCCCAGAAACACGTGATAGAAGCCTTAAAGATGGATGAATCACAGAATCACAGCATGGTCAGGGTTGGAAGGGACCTCTGGAGATCATCTAGTCCAACCCCCCCGCCAGAGCAGGGTCACCTACAACAGGTTGCATAGGAAGGTGTCCAGGCGGGTTTGGAATGTCTCCCGAATGGGAGACTCCACCACCTCTCTGGGCAGTCTGTGCCAGTGCTCCACCACCCTCAAAGTAAATTCTGACTAAGGACAGTATTAAATTCTCTTTTTTGGGTGAAGGGGTACATGTTGGGTTTTTAAACTATTATTTCAGTTTGCTCCTAGGTGATATCAATATACCACACAGAAATTAAGGGGGAGTCATTGCCTAAACATAGATTTCTAGTGCTACCTGAAATGTCATGAGGCCCATTGGAGACATTGCCATGTGGCTAGTGGGGGTGACATGGGACGTGGAGGACACTCACACCTTTCTAGAGGACCAGGGAAATTCACGAGAGCTACCCCAAGTGTTTCAAATGGCACTGATATTTTAATTTTGTAATCATTTTTTCTCTGTCACTAAGTTGGTATGTTAAACTCTTGAAATCTTGTTTTATTTCTTCTTCCTCTTTGCATCACAAAAGTGTGTTTTTCTCAGGACTTTCTTAACCTTATGTGTACTTTTTGTTGAGAATGTTACAGGTTGAGGAGTGTAAATACAGATGGATTTTTTAATACTTTGTTGGAAAAGTTCTTCAAGAAGGTAGATTTCTTGTAGCTTTGAATGTACTGTACACTTCCATGGTTTGTAGAAGGCAGAGAGATACATAGCTTTGATATTGTCTTCTTTAGCTAAAGCAAATGCTCTCCAGTTAGTTATCTTATTCTTTTTTCAGTTATGTCAACATCCTGCCCGTATGGGAGCTAATTCTGCTCTCAGTTTTTCAAACTTAGGTCTTCATATGCATTACAGAATGGGACAGGAGGCTGTAAAGTCTTCATCAGTGGTTATGATGCGTTTATCATGAGTTTAACACAGACAGGAATTTATTGAGTAAGCACAATGACATACTATTTATTTATAAGCTTCTCTTTTGCTAGATTTGTATGCCACTGTGTATGGTATTCCCCTGTGTATATATGTGTTTTAATGTGTTTGTGTGAGAGAGACAGAGGAAGAGAGATCAAGGGATCTTGACAACATTTTTATAAATTCAGGAAACAGTTGCACTCACTTAAGCCCGTGAATACAGAAACCGAAAGACCTGACATGAGTTATGAAAGTTAGCAATAAAACCCTCCTAACATACAGCCAGACTTCTCACAGCTAGGCCTTTTGAGATAATTCCCAATAGCAGCATATACCATATGGCGATGGCATTTATTGTGGATTTGACACTCATGATTAGTGAATTCCCCTTGACTTCAAAAGCAGATCGCCTTTGGCAAAATCCTGATGGATGCATTTGGCAGGTAAGGAGTGGGAGAGAAAAATTATTGAGGTCAAAACAGGAAAAAAAAAATCACTGAAATCTTAGTTTAAAATAGTGGCAGAGACCTGCTGGGAGTGGTTGGGAAAATGCCTGAGCTCGTTTAAAAAGACAATGAGTAGATGATTGATATTTAGGCCCTGACCCAAACTTTTATTAGCAACTTTATAAACCTTTCATTTTGGCTTGAGGGATACAGTTTCCTATCCAAACTTATCCACCTATATCCCTGTAGGGGGAAAAAAAAGCAACAGCAGATACAAAATGGCACATAAATTTTAATTTGGAGAGCTGTGATGGAACTGAAAAGCCAAAGGAAAGACAATTATCAGATTTTATTGTGCCTGCTCTTGCTCTTTTTTTGTGTGTGTTTTGGTTTGGTTTGGTTTGGTTTTGGGGAGCAGCATTCGTCTTTTTCCACAGGGAACAAGAAAAAAGTTACTGCTTTGTTTTCACACTTCTGCACTGAAATTATGTAGGTAGTGCTTGTCATAATTAAATCATGTTTTTCTTGTTGATAACAGCATGGCAGATGTCCTGACTATTTAATATAGTTGTCAGAATTAAACTTGCCTTTTCTCCTACCTCTCCTGACTTCTCCCTGCCCCCTCCAAGAATTCCAGACAAAATAACTCCAAGGTTTCTGAGAATAAGATGTAGGAGAAAGGAATTGTCTTGCCAATTCTCATAAAATTGTTACAGTCATGTCATTGACAAGTCCTGGCATCTCCATTCTTTGGAATTAAGACTTGAAATATCATGGGAAGGATAGTACCGGACCCTTTTCCTTCTTTATGGAAAACTGACCAAAAATTGGCCACATCAGGCAGCTCTGAAAATCTCATCACACATGTGTGTTCATTTGGCTGCTAAAGATGTTGTCTTTCAAGGGAAGGTTTCATCCCCTTCCAAGAGCAACGTGTTTATGGGATGGCATAGCTCCATCTTCCCAGAACAGCTGAGCATTTGCTCGGGCAGGAGAGCTGGAAGCGAACAGGACTTTCCTCTGCAGTTACTTCATCTCACAGCTGCAGCTCAGCACACCTCAGCTGAGGGCTAGAAACTGCTTCTTGCCATGCCCTGACAGTAAAGGGAAGAAAGGGAATGGCAAGTGATGAATGCTGAGGAGGAAGAAGTGTCGGGGACAAGAGGAAAGAAAGAAGAAGAGGGAACGGTATTAAAGGAACACAGAAAACAGAGAAAGGAAGAAACAAAGAAGTCAGCGGTAGAGAGACGAAGAGGGAGAAGGAGCAGGGCGGGGTAGCTAAAAGAAGTGTCTATTAACCGCAAGAGTGCTTCAATAAACTCTGGTGCGTCACAAGTCCTAGGCGTTCAGACAGCAATTAAAATTTTAGAGCTTGCCTGCATGGCAGTTATAGGTTTTCCTCTTCTGTGAGATTGCTTAAGGGGTGGAAATCTGTGCTGGAAATATTAAGATAGAGATATTCGAGTGAATGATGTGGGTATCAACATGATACTATACAATGAATTTCCTTTATTGTTTGCCCTGGCTCTAGAAATGCATTCTAAAAAATCATACACACATAAAACTATAAATGCATACAAGTCAATTAAAGTATCTTTTAATACAGAGGCAAAGTCATGTATATTCCACCTGTATTAATATAATACGCTATGATTTCTTATTACTTACCTCATCCTATATTCCCACATTTTTCCTGGTTCATTAATTAATTATTCAATATTTCTTTTTATCTTCTTCACCTAGACCTTAGCTTTTAGATAATGGTGCATGTCATTCATATCCCAGAAATTATCACTGCTGTCATGATGCTTCTAGGATGTTCTCACTACATAGACCTTAATTAATCTATGTCTCTTACATACGTATGAGGTGGTTTTATTATTATGTTATAGCTTTAATATTAGAAGAAAGTAAACAAACTATCTTCTAATAGAGGATTACCATCTATAGAAAACTTGGGCCTGATTTTTAAATAATGTTCCATATTTTAATAGTCTTTGTATAACACTACATTCAGTCTCAGAGCAACAGTGTGCATTTGTCATTCATTCTGATATGGCTGGAGATAACCTATGACCATCATCCAAACTGCAGAACTCTGCAAACACAGAAGTGACATTCAGCTTCCCTAATCTTACTCTCTGCTACCTCATTTAGCATCCTCATTCCCACCACCACCACAAATGCAGAAGATTTTAATATACCAGTCTCACTCAATACTGTCGTTTACAAGATGGCATCAGTTCTGTTACTGAAGAAGGGAAGGGCCTGTGTCGTAATTCATACATACAAACGTGTTTCATTCATATTGTATAGACAGCCTTATTTCTCTCTGTCTTTTGGGTAGTAGTCTTTACCAATTTATTGGCAGGTTCTTTTTTAGAGGTTTTTTTTTGTGTGCATTTCTAGGTTTTACTTTATAGTGAGACACAGAGAATAACCAGATCAGAATGTCGATTGCCTTCTAGGAAAAAAACCAAAAAATAATTTCAACCTCTTTCAATTTGTGGCCCTCCTAAAATTTTCCAGTAGAAATGTAGATGCCTAATCACAAATCTAAGCATAATGATTTGCTTTATTTTGTTGCTTTTCATGGACATCTCAGCTGTAGTCTGTGCACTCAAAGCATCATAGAATCATTTGGGTTGTAAAAGACCAAGATCACCAAGTCCAACTGTAAGCTTAACACTGCCAAGTCCACCACTACACCATGTCCCTAAGTGCCACATTTACACATCTTTTAAATACTTCCAGGGATGGGGACTCCACCACTTCTCTGGGCAGCCTGTTCCAAAGTTTGATAACCCTTTCAGTGAAGACATTTTCCTAATATCCAATGTAAACCTCCACTGGTGCAACTTGAAGCCGTTTCCTCTTGTCCTATCACTTGTTACATGGGAGAAGAGACTGACCTCCACGTCACTACAACCTGCTTTCAGGTAGCTGTGGGGAGCGATAAGGTCTCCCCTGAGCCTCGTTTTCTCCAGGCTAAACAACCCCAGTTCCCTCAGCTGCTCCTCATAAGACTACATTTATAACTCATAAGAATACATTTATATTACAGAAGTTTGCATTCTGTTTTCTTGGCTAGGAGGTATGCCCCAGCCCAGTTTTGGACATTGTCACCAGTGACATATAAACATTGACATCCACAAACATATATCATTGCCACACGGGGGTGCGACCATGCCTCAAAACCACATCACGCTTGCTGTGACCAGTGTGGATTTGGTCAGAGGACCAGGATCCTGACTTGTGACACAGCAGCTAGGAGAAGGCAAGGCTGGAGGCAATCTTTGGCTTTTAAGACAGGGTTTACTTAACACTGTTAAAAACAACTATGGAAATAATTTAAATCTAATAAACAAGAAAATTATTCTCAGCTGAATTTTTTTCTTCTTCACATTGAACAAATTAAGGTGCATTCTCACTCC